TAAATAAAGTTTTATTGGAACACAGCTATCCTTCATTCATTTGCATATTGTCCAAGGCTGCTTTCACACTACAACAGCAGAGTTGAGTAGTTGCAACACAGACTGTACATCATGCAAAGCCCAATTTATTAACCATCTCGCCTTTTACATAAAAAAGATTGCCAACTCCTGCTTTAAAATTATAACATGTACAGAATTTTGTATTGTTTTCTTAATATTTCAAAACTATTTTCTAATTTTTATAATCTGAACACTTTTTCAAAGTATCCACTACTCATTTGTCAGCATGGAGTCCTGTAATTTATTTAGCCTCTCCTCTTTATTAAAATATTGGGTTGTTTTCATATCTTGAATTGTATAAAATATTCAGTGAACATCTGAAATCATATAGGACTTTTTCCTATTCATTTTAAATATATATATATATATCTTTCTATGAAAAAAATATATGTATACATTCTATAGAAAGAAATTTCTGGGTCAAAGGGTGTGATCATTTTCACATCTCTCGATCTCTTGATCTATTTGGCTCTGCAAAAAGGTTTGAATTACCTTCCAGTAATAGTGGAAGGTATTGGAACTCCAATTTCTACCACTTGAGCTCTAGAATTGGACAGTATTATGTTTTAAATTTCTATTTAATGAGTTAAAATTGAATCTAAATATTTATTTACTTTGCATATATTTGATTACCAAAAGTCTTGAAAATTTTTTGTCTTTCTTTAATACCCACATTTGTTGGCATGTTTAAAATCCATTCACATCCTTTCTCAGGTTTTGTAGATTTTTTTTTTTCCTCTGTGAATCCGTGCAACTTCAGGCTAATGGAAACCGTGAACAGGCAAGGTCTGCCTTAATCTAGGGTGAGTATGAGAGTCAGTTTGGATACTGGCAGCCAGGGAAAACCTTGATCCAAATCAACTCAATATTTATTAAACCTGTTCTGTTGCAGAAATTGTGCTAGGCAGTTAGATAAAAGAATGAGCCAGACTCTATCCTCGTCCTCCAGGAGTTACATTCTCTGATAATTTAGGAACTAATGATGGTACATCAAGATCTTGGAAATTCTAAAGTGAATGTATGCTTCACGGGTACCATTTTGCCTTTTTTTTTTTTGTCTCTCTGGATCATCATTAACATTAGTTTCTGCTCACAAATAATTTTAATTAGTGTTTTAAAATCTTTATACGATACTTCGTAGATTATAAGATAGGATAATAACTATATGTTGTTTCATGTTGACAGGAGAATATTTTTCGTATTGGGAAGGGGAAAAAACTTGGTTTAGGCAGTTAGAAATATTGGCAATGTGCCCAAACCAAAATATTCAAAATGCAAAATTGATAAATTTTCCATTTTACTTATTAAAAATCTGTACTGCCTCGTGAATGATTTTTTTCATCACCTGTCACTTTTCCATATACCTGTTGAGGATATTGCTTCAAGTTTTAAGAGCCCATAACGAGTTATGAGTGACAAAGGCTAAATTTGAGATTCATTCAGTACACTAGATTTTTCAAGTTCCTTGACACTCGTCAGCGGCCAGCAGAGCTGCCCCTCCAAGCTTACAAATCTGACTGTGACCATCTCTTCCCAACTATGCATTTAGTAATGTCATGTTAGTGGCTTGAAATAAACCATGGGAGGAATGTTTACACCATGGAAATTGGCAAAAGCTATAAATCAGAGCTCCCTTTTTTGCTCCACCCAGAGAACAGCTTGTTAAACATTCACAAGTGAGCCACTGCTTTTGGTCTGACATAAATCAGTTCCTTAGATATGAGAAACACATTAGGAAATTCATAGTTTCCTTCTAAATTATACGAGAATTGTTCTTTCAACCCAAACTAGCATCTATTATAAACTTGGAATCAGCAATATTCTAAATTTTCCTGTAAACATCCACAAGCCTGAGACTCATTGTCAACCTATAGATGGTGATAACCATACATATAAGGAGGAGGGAAGGCATGATGTAGAGACAAGGAGAGGGAGATAAGGGAAATCTCTGGAAAACTATACGCAATTAAACTGTACACACTTCACCTTACAATACCCCAAATCTTGGTGTACTGTATCAGTTCCTAAATTATCAGAGAGTTTATTCCTAGAGGACAATGATGAGTCTAGCTCATGCACAATTTCTACAAGAGAGTAGATTTTGTAAATATGGACTTGATTCGGACTGAAGTTTTCCCCAGCTCTGTTGCCTAAAATGATTCTCACATTAACTCTGATTAAGCAAGACCTTCCTTCCCTTTACACAACCTCACATTCTATTTTCTGAAAATAGAATATGAAGTTGCATGTCAGATGTCTTTACCTTTTTCTTTATTAATAAGATATTCATTTCAAAGGCTGTTTTCACATCACTATTCCACTTTAAATTCTTAAACTTGCAGGTATATTGTAACCAATAAAAAATTAATCTACCTAAAGATATGTTTGATCTGACACACTTAAGAAACAGTGTGGTGAACTCCTGGTCTCAGCTCTTATCATATAGGCATAAAAATACTCAGTCTTAAAAATCAGGTAGAGTTCCTGAACTCTGATTCTTACTTTCTCTCTTTTTTCTTTCACTTATTTTTTAACAAAATGGAAATAACATTTCTTTGTTATTACATTAATAATGTCCATTTTAGAACTTTTTCCTGATTTTACAGTTTCCTTTGACTCCAACCACGGAAGAATTGGAGCGTAGTCTTCCAGTTACACATTTCTTGTCCAAGTAGTTCCCCAGTTGCTAGGGTTTCTCTCCCATCCTTTCATCAAACTGATAGGAATCTACTTCTTATAAAGGAAGTACAAAATCAGATGGTTTTGTGTGCTATAGATCTTCTGCTTGCAAAGGAGACTTCACAGGAGGTTGCCTCAAGCTAGGGTTTTCCTGTAGAATGCTACCATGTTACTTGACAAGCAGAGCACTTCACAATGCTGGAGCTTGTAGGTATGTGCCACTCCTCTTAACCTCTCCTCACCAGAGCAAAGCCCTGAGCGCAGACTTCTCTTTGGTCTGAAAAGAGGCTCTGGAGAGGGCAGTAGCTGATTTACAGATTCTGATGAATATCAGTAACTAACAGCAGGATCAAGGCTAGATGGAGGTAGAATTATCAGGGTAGGAGCGTAGGAACTATACACCAGCTCTGGCATTCCCTTATCAAATAATCATACATAATTAAATTGGGAAGGGGAAAATGCCTTTTTTTAAACAAGCACAAAAATTATTATTTTGGAGACTGGTAGAATGTAAGCAAGCCAGCTATTCATGCCATACCCAGGAGCTCAGACAGAACTAAATTATGCTTCAGATTAATGTATCGGTCAGTTCAAAGGTTAGACAAACAGCTGTTTCTCCAGGAGACACACTACAAAGCTTAACTATTCATTGGAAGGTCTGTAATGGTCTCAGTGGATTCCCAAAGGAGCCACTGTTATTTGTTTCTGATTGGGAGATACCCCAAACTGACTCCATGCTGCTGATGACCTCTATTGCTAGGGCAGGAGGGTGAAACTCTGGAGCCAGTGCGATTTTACCAGTCTCTGGGAAAAAAAAAAAGAAAAAGAAAAAAACCACCCACACATACAACATTTCTGTACTGACTCAAAGATTGTCCACAATTCTGCAGTTTGGATAGGTGAAAGAATGCTGGAGAGTCAAGAGGTCTACTCACTCATTTCTGCAAAAATGTAAGATAACTTAAAATAGAAAGCTATTCAAGAATGTAACTTATAGTAGTCAGGTTTGAGCTGATGCAAAACTATGTAACTGATGGCAAAAAGAGGAATGGAATACGTTACATCTTTATCCAATATTTACCATCATTCTCCTGGTGATTTTGAGATACTTAATAACTCCGTATGAAACAGCTAATTGTAAATGAAAAACAAAACAAAGCTCTAAGAGAAAGACACAAAAAAGAAGAGGAGAATTTAAATTAGAGTTGTAGATTGAAATATTTATTTGAATGTGATTATATTTAAATTAAAAAGTATTAAAATTCAAGTCTCAGAAAGACAAAGAAGTAAATTCTTGAAGAGTTTCTGAGAGCTTTTTAGGAATTCCTCCATGATGATTTCAAGATTCCAAGGATGTAATCAAATTTTTTAAAATTTTACTCAGATATTCATTATTTACTCACTGCGAGACACTTGCCAGTAGTCGTTAACTTTTATCTTTATGCTCATTTACCAAGGTCTTTTTGGATTTTGTCTCATACACAAATTCTATTTTGTTTTGAGATTAATAAAATCCTCACAAACTTTGTTCCATTCCCACAAGGTCATTCAATGTTTGCTAAAAGCAAAATAAAAATGTTGAGTTCTTATTAGAAAGAGAGCACCTGGAGATTTAGGGGAATAAAGGAAGAAAGTTTCTTAATAAAATGTGACCTCTACCTAGAAAAAGCCCAGCATAGAACTGTCACAATTTTCCTGGGGGGGAGGAGGTGATGCAACTCAACTATTTATTTATCCTTGTATCAAATATGTATTCATTAGGGTACTCATTAATTTATTCAACAAATATTTACACACTCTGTCTCAGAGTGAGTGTGTTAGAATAGATCTTTAACAGTTATGAAACAATTATATAATTCTTGGCTTGCATCAGTGTGAAGACAATTAAGATGGCATAAGAAGCAGTAATAGAGAAATGAGATTGGCCCTTGGGGAGAATTTGGAGTAGTTAAGGGAACCACTTGGCTAAGAGTACCTCAAAATTGAGCTTAAAGACGTGAGAGAACAATAGTGCCTCTGACAGAAATAAGAATGTTTAGAAGGAAGGCAGTTTGAGGGAATGAGAGTACCAAATTAAACACTTTAATCCCAGTAGCATTTCAGTGGGTAGGTAAAAATAAGAAACCTAAAACTTGGAGAGTGCAAAGACCTAGAGAGGATTTTGAGAGTCATACGTTGATAACTTCACTAGAGAATCAGCAAGAGGTGAATAAAAGGATTTTTGAACAATTAAAATGGCCCAGTTACATTTAAAAGCTCACCTTGGCAACGAAATGGGTTTATTTTATCAACTGCACCTTGAAGTTCACGTGTAATGAAAACCCTCACCAGAGGTTACCTGGTTCTGAGAATTGTCACAGTGGAAGATCAGACAATCTTCTGTTTGGCCAGGGTGTAAACCAGGGCTGTAGAGAAGTTGATGAGAAGTGGTACAAGCCAGGGAGGGAGGAAACCAAAATCAGAAGACAACCCTCTGTCCCAGATGTATTTATTGAGATCATGTGACTAGAGAGGCCAACGAGGAGGAAGAGCAAGTTCAAAGAAACTACCAGAAAGGGGTGCAATATAGCCTGACGGAAGAGCAGTCCTTTAATCAATCCCCAAACACGAAGAGATATTCAACAGAAATGCAAGTCCATGTACACATATGTGCACGCACACACGCATGCATGAAAACTCCCTGTTGCTTCACCAAACACAGATGAGAATAAAGCAGGAAATGAATTTATCCCCCACGGAAATTAATAAAAGACCAAGTAAACAGGATGCCTGTGGTTCCTCAGTCACTCTCAGTCGTAATTTTTATCATCTGTAAAATGAGGCTACTCTACAGATAAAATGAGATATTCTATGCAAGCCTATTATATATATATATATATTAGATGTTGACTAGAATTAGATGTTGAATTAAGGGGAGGGGAAGCTGAGACGGCTAATGAGCTCTTCATTTTTTATTCTGAAACCCTCAGGTGCAAGGAAGTATGCCCTATTCATCTTTCTATCCATTGGACCTAGAAAAACATGGCTATCACATTGGTATCTTAATTAATTAAATTAGTAGAGGGATATAATTTGGTGGTGTATTTCAAATGAAGAGCTATATTATGATTATAAAAGATGCGCTCAGGAACCAAGAACAAGATCTCTCCTTAATCCATTCCTTCATTCACAGATATTTATAGAATGTCTACTATGTGCTAGACCCTTTTCCAGGTGGCACAGATACAAAAATAGACAGGACTGACAAAATCCTTCCTATCACAGAGCTTAATTCAATTAGAGAGGACATACAGAAAATATAAAGTTGAATAAGGTACAAAACATTGAAGTGTCTATGGGAAAGGTTTTTGAAGCATACTGAATCATATGAAAAAAGTCAAGTTTAAGGAAGGACAAGGAGGTGGTATGAGATTACAGCAGAAGGAGGTTGAGAAAATAGGATGTGGCTGCAACAATGAAACTAGTTTCAACAGGCATAATCAATTAGGCTAGTTTTAAAGCAACCAAGTGGGTATGGAAGGATGAAATGGGTTAGATCAATCATTCTCAATCTTCTAAGAACCTGTCAAACATGCAGATTCCAGGACCCATCCCAGAAATACTGAGTCAATAGGTTTGGATGGGACCTAGGACTTACAGTGAATCAACATGCCAGGTGATTCTGACGTGGTTAGTTCCCAGACCTCACTCTGAGAAACAGTGAATTGGATTGAAAATTGTTTAGTGGCTCATTTGGAAGATAACTGTGTGTCATAGGTGGGATGCTAGGGATGAGGGAAATTGAATTGATGCATTTTATTGCCTGAAATGAGCACTTGTTGACCTGAATTTATGCAAATTTTTTGCCTAATCTGCTTTTCTCCTGAGTTCTAAATAATTTCAAAGTAGATCTTAAAGTTTTGTATAAGACAGGGTTTTAAGACTTCATTTTTGTAGAAACTGGAGGAAAAATACATTCAGATGAATTAATTAAAGGTACTGCTCACAAAATGCTATTTTAGGAAGAGGAATATAAAGGAAAGGGAACTATGGCTGTCAAGATCTTTCCCTCTATGTTACATTTTCTCTGGATTAAAAAGAAGAAAAGTTTTAGTTTATATTTTAATTTCTATTTACTACAGAAGTTTGCAATCTTGTGGTACATTTAACCTTAAGTTTATGACAAGGTTTCTAAAACTTAGGAAGTCCCTGATTAGAAAAAACTGTATAAGTAGATGATATATTTCAGTTGTAGGAAATATCTATCTATTTCTATACCCTAAAAATAACTGGGTATTTTTAGGAAAAAAAGAGAAACTTCTTCTGGTCTTAATATTAACTTAATTTTTTCAAAAATAAGATAGTATTCAGCTTAAACTATTGACATAATTAATTTCAATCAACATTTTTGAATTTGTGACATCTCCCAGTCTGTTTCTGTATGAGATTATGAAAGAGAAACATGCTATTATCTTAAATACATGCAATCAAATTACAGCTTCTGTCTCTTTAAATAAATTGTGGTTTGGCTACAAACTCTCAGACTTTACAGGGCTCCTGAAAATATTAATGATTAACCAAAGGAGGCACAGGATGAAACAATTTGGTGCCTTCAGTTGGGAGTCAAGACACTCTACTCAGTTTCAGTGAACATGTTGATAAGTTTCAGAGATCTTGATAGTCTTCTAAACGATGCCCCTATTTCTTTCATGAAATCTAAATGAACGTGAAGACATTGTGTTCTTCTCTCCCTAGGGATTTGGCCAAATTCTTGAGAAGGAAAATCATAATTCAGTATCTGAAAGCACATGAATGGAAAGAACAAGGAAAAATGAAAAAAAGAGATGTTTGGCGTCATCCTTTTGCTTTTTATTTACCATCTTTGGCTTTCCAATTCTATAGGACTATGGCTTGTTTCCTGTGGTGTAGACCAAAAGATTGAGAGGTTTTCAACTTAGTAACCATAAAGATGTTGAACATCATTTATAGCACCACTTAGCCTGAGGTAGATGGGTGTGGAGTTGAGAGTTAATCAGTCTGATAGTAGTTTCAATATTTTAATATTCAAGTAAGCCACTATCTAGTAGAAAATGGCTTTTGGTGTGACACAACAGACAGAATAAGCAATTACCACAATCATTTTACAGGTTTTTGGAAATGGTATAAAGTTCGAAGGTCAGTACATGATGTCATATACTCTGAAATTTCTTAATTTGTTGCTATGGATTTCACAAAAAGTTAAAATGTGATTGAAAATGTGATTGTAAATTTAAAGGAACTATTTTCAAAACCGTATTCAACATATATGCTATAGTGACTCCATAACTCACTTAGGAACTTCTAAAATTACTTAGTCAGTCATGCTATTTTTGAAGTAAATCTGATTTTTCAAATTGTTAAGCTACTTAGAGGTTAAGAGTACATCCGTGGATTATATTATAAACTCCCAAACTTCCAGTTTTGCACTCAAGGGACCCTTAATGAATACATTTCCAATTGAAGAAACGTCTAATTTCATCAGAATAAGAATACAGGTTTTGACTGGAAAGCACTGTGATTAACACAGCAATGTCACCCCTACCCACCCTTCCTAACCCAGGAGCCTTCATCTCAGCCCAAGTCAGGAATGGTTGATCCATGCACTTCACACTGGGAGTAGAATGAAGATTCGTTCTTTAGTGGCAGTAGAAAAAATACCCTGTAGGCAAAGCTTTTAGGGTTGACATTACATTACTTTCTTCCTTTTACCAGTTTACTGTTCCTTTCTTAGACCTTTCTGCTCACATTTGCCATAGAGAGGGTGCTAATTCTCCCTTTTAAAGGAACAGAATGAAACAAAGGGGCCCACCCTGTTGTGGGGGTGAGCTCTGATTGTGGAGAGTAACACTAGCAGCTTGTCCTGCTGACTCTTGCTGCACAGTCCTAACAATTCTCTTTACTAAGATCTGAGGATAAAGAGAGCTCCAAATGCCACCTCCCTTCCAAATCCCAGGGATTAACCCTGTTGGTATTTGCTCTTCGTGTCAAGCCAGCCCCAAAGAGCAGGCAGGGGCAGTCAATGGCATAAAGTCAGCAAATGGGGACAGTTGCCCAACTTTCCTCATTCTCATTGTCTGCAGTGATAACATTGTAAGTTTGATGTCAAAACACTGGGGGCTTCCACCTTCAGAGGTGTGAAAATAATAATGATAATACTCAACTAACTCAGACTTCTAACGACCTTGAGTGATTGGCAAAAGTTCACAAATGAGAGTCAGGATCACAACCAGAATTAGAGCAAATTCACAGAGTAGTTATTCCTGACTTCAAATCTGAACATGAAACCCTGAACTGTCAGAAAAGAATTAGCAAAGTATTGGGTAATTAAATAATTTTTTAACTCGTGGCATAGGAAAGACAAGTTAATTTATCTTAATGTGGTTCTTATTTTATTTTTTAAATAACTAGATAACTCAGTGGAGTGATTAACATTCTGAAACAACAAATGATCATATTACTGCAAGGTCCTGACTTACTGTAAAGTCTCTAAGGTAAAAAGACTTTGAGCTGATAGTGAAATTCCATCCTGTGGTACTTTGGTCTGGCTCCTCATAAGGTAGCATGTCTGGTGCCCTGCTGTTTAGAAATGACCCCAAGGCAAAAGTGGAAGATGAAGTTTCAGCAGGAGAGACTGAGAATCTCAGAGGATTTGCTCTGTGAAGCAGGGACTCTTGCCTGTGAGTGACAATTTTCAAAGAAGTCTTCACTGGTGATATTGAACAATTGTGACGGTTTAGGTCTTTTGCCCTGAGATGGTTCGTGGTCTCTGCATTTAAATAATGTGTTGAGTCTGGATGGCAACACTGGAAAATTTTAGAAGCAGGAAAACATCATATGGAGTCTTGAAAGATATAACTCAGACATGCAAGATACATTTTCTCAGACATTCCTCCCTCTCTCTCTCTCTCTCACACACGCAGACACACACACACTTTATTTCTTCCCCCCGGGGAGAAATCTTGCATTGCATGAAATAAAATGGAATCTCTAGTATTTTCTCCCCCAAATATGTTTTCCTTATTTATCACATGAGAGAAATACAATACAATATATAAGAGACACGTTATGGAATGTTGGCTTTTCCAGCTGCTTAATTTTGCAATTTCTGTGAATAAAATAAGTTATAATAGAAAAATCCCAAAGCCAGTGATATCTCCATGTTGTAAGTTATCATTTAGAGTTTTGCTACTGCCAGATGATTTTAAACTTTAATATTGTAGACATTATCTTGGTGAATCATTGCATTTATTATGAAAATACTGGCTTGCCATTGTGAAAAGCTTAAATTCAGAATTAGGCCCACATTAGAGATGCTAGCCTCCAGTTGCCTGAAGAGTCAGTGGGAGAGTGGAGGAAGAAAAAGTTCTTTTGTATAGTTCAACTTGCCATATGGGCTCTTGTCTAAGCAAACCCTCCACTGTTACA